ACACAGACCCCAACTTATGCCTAGAACAGATTAACTCGGTGGCACTCGATGTATGCACAAGGCTTATTCCTCTAAGAAAAAGGAGGAGTAGATGTAAAACAGAAAGAGACAGGCCTCCCTTGACAGGCGACGGAAAAGAATAACAGAGGGCTAAAAGAGGTCAATATATCTGAAATGCGTAGGGAGACACTGGTCAGAGAAATAGCAAGCATCGAACTTAAGCTAAAAGAATCCTTTAGAAGTCAGGAATCGCGGGAAGAACTAAAAGCCATAAATGAAATCGAAAGAAACCCAAAGTATTTCTTCTCCTATGCCAAATCAAAATCGAGAACAACGTCCAGTATTGGGCCCCTACTTAAACAAGATGGGTCCTACACAGATGACAGCAAGGAAATGAGTGAGCTACTCAAGTCCCAATATGACTCGGTTTTTAGCAAGCCGCTAACCAGACTGAGAGTCGAAGATCAAAATGAATTTTTTATGAGAGAGCCACAAAATTTGATTAACACAAGCCTATCCGATGTTATCCTGACGCCAAATGACTTCGAACAGGCGATAAATGACATGCCCATGCACTCTGCCCCAGGGCCAGACTCATGGAACTCTGTGTTCATCAAGAACTGCAAGAAGCCCCTATCACGAGCCTTTTCCATCCTATGGAGAGGGAGCATGGACACGGGGATCGTCCCACAGTTACTAAAAACAACAGACATAGCCCCACTCCACAAAGGGGGCAGTAAAGCAACAGCAAAGAACTACAGACCAATAGCACTAACATCCCATATCATAAAAAATCTTTGAAAGGGTCCTAAGAAGCAAGATCACCACGCATCTAGAAACCCATCAGTTACACAACCCAGGGCAACATGGGTTTAGAACAGGTCGCTCCTGTCTGTCTCAACAATTGGACCACTACGACAAGGTCCTAAATGCACTAGAAGACAAAAAGAATGCAGATGTAATATATACAGACTTTGCAAAAGCCTTCGACAAGTGTGACCATGGCGTAATAGCGCACAAAATGCGTGCTAAAGGAATAACAGGAAAAGTCGGTCGATGGATCTATAATTTCCTCACTAACAGAACACAAAGAGTAGTCGTCAACAGAGTAAAGTCCGAGGCAGCTACGGTGAAAAGCTCTGTTCCACAAGGCACAGTACTCGCTCCCATCCTGTTCCTCATCCTTATATCCGACATAGACAAGGATGTCAGCCACAGCACCATGTCTTCCTTTGCAGATGACACCCGAATCTGCATGACAGTGTCTTCCATTGCAGACACTGCAAAGCTCCAGGCAGACATCAACCAAATCTTTCAGTGGGCTGCATAAAACAATATGAAGTTCAACGATGAGAAATTTCAATTACTCAGATATGGTAAACATGAGGAAATTAAATCTTCATCAGAGTACAAAACAAATTCTGGCCACAAAATAGAGCGAAACACCAACGTCAAAGACCTGGGAGTGATCATGTCGGAGGATCTCACCTTCAAGGACCATAACATTGTATCAATCGCATCTGCTAGAAAAATGACAGGATGGATAATGAGAACCTTCAAAACTAGGGAGGCCAAGCCCATGATGACACTCTTCAGGTCACTTGTTCTATCTAGGCTGGAATATTGCTGCACACTAACAGCACCTTTCAAGGCAGGTGAAATTGCCGACCTAGAAAATGTACAGAGAACTTTCACGGCGCGCATAACGGAGATAAAACACCTCAATTATTGGGAGCGCTTGAGGTTCCTAAACCTGTATTCCCTGGAACGCAGGAGGGAGAGATACATGATTATATACACCTGGAAAATCCTAGAGGGACTAGTACCGAACTTGCACACGAAAATCACTCATTACGAAAGCAAAAGACTTGGCAGACAATGCACCATCCCCCCAATGAAAAGCAGGGGTGTCACTAGCACGTTAAGAGACCATACAATAAGTGTCAGGGGCCCGAGACTGTTCAACTGCCTCCCAGCACACATAAGGGGGATTACCAACAGACCCCTGGCAGTCTTCAAGCTGGCACTGGACAAGCACCTAAAGTCAGTTCCGGATCAGCCGGGCTGTGGCTCGTATGTTGGTTTGCGTGCAGCCAGCAGCAACAGCCTGGTTGATCAGGCTCTGATCCACCAGGAGGCCTGGTCTCAGACCGGGCCGCGGGGGCGTTGACCCCCGGAACTCTCTCCAGGTAAACTCCAGGTAACCGTGGTCCTTGAATTATTACCACCGTGGTCCTTGAATTATTACCACCGTGGTCCTTGAATTATTACCACCGTGGTCCTTGAATTATTACCACCGTGGTCCTTGACTTATTACCACCGTGGTCCTTGAATTACCACCGTGGTCCTTGAATTACCACCGTGGTCCTTGAATTATTACCACCGTGGTCCTTGACTTATTACCACCGTGGTCCTTGACTTATTACCACCGTGGTCCTTGACTTATTACCACCGTGGTCCTTGACTTATTACCACCGTGGTCCTTGAATTATTACCACCGTGGTCCTTGAATTATTACCACCGTGGTCCTTGAATTATTACCACCGTGGTCCTTGAATTATTACCACCGTGGTCCTTGAATTATTACCACCGTGGTCCTTGAATTATTACCACCGTGGTCCTTGAATTATTACCACCGTGGTCCTTGACTTATTACCACCGTGGTCCTTGACTTATTACCACCGTGGTCCTTGAATTATTACCACCGTGGTCCTTGACTTATTACCACCGTGGTCCTTGACTTATTACCACCGTGGTCCTTGACTTATTACCACCGTGGTCCTTGACTTATTACCACCGTGGTCCTTGACTTATTACCACCGTGGTCCTTGACTTATTACCACCGTGGTCCTTGACTTATTACCACCGTGGTCCTTGACTTATTACCACCGTGGTCCTTGACTTATTACCACCGTGGTCCTTGACTTATTACCACCGTGGTCCTTGACTTATTACCACCGTGGTCCTTGACTTATTACCACCGTGGTCCTTGACTTATTACCACCGTGGTCCTTGACTTATTACCACCGTGGTCCTTGAATTATTACCACCGTGGTCCTTGAATTATTACCACCGTGGTCCTTGACTTATTACCACCGTGGTCCTTGACTTATTACCACTGTGGTTCTTGAATTATTACCACCGTGGTCCTTGAATTACCACCGTGGTCCTTGAATTATTACCACCGTGGTCCTTGAATTATTACCACCGTGGTCCTTGAATTATTACCACCGTGGTTCTTGAATTATTACCACCGTGGTCCTTGAATTATTACCACTGTGGTCCTTGAATTATTACCACCGTGGTTCTTGAATTATTACCACCGTGGTCCTTGAATTATTACCACTGTGGTCCTTGAATTATTACCACCGTGGTTCTTGACTTATTACCACCGTGGTCCTTGAATTATTACCACTGTGGTCCTTGAATTATTACCACTGTGGTCCTTGACTTATTACCACTGTGGTCCTTGACTTATTACCACTGTGGTCCTTGAATTATTACCACCGTGGTTCTTGAATTATTACCACTGTGGTCCTTGAATTATTACCACCATGGTCCTTGAATTATTACCACCGTGGTCCTTGAATTATTACCACCGTGGTCCTTGAATTATTACCACCGTGGTTCTTGAATTATTACCACCGTGGTCCTTGAATTATTACCACTGTGGTCCTTGAATTATTACCACCGTGGTTCTTGAATTATTACCACCGTGGTCCTTGAATTATTACCACTGTGGTCCTTGAATTATTACCACCATGGTCCTTGACTTATTACCACCGTGGTCCTTGACATATGGTAACACATTTCCACTGTGACATATAGCAACACATGTTCAGTAACACACAATGTGTTATAGTGAAGGTGGGATCCATACATAGCTTTAAGAGGTATGATAAATCTTATGGAGCTTTATCATACCTGTTGTTATTGTTATTGTATGTTGTTATTGTTATTGTATGTTGTTATGGTTACTGTCTCTTGTTAATGTTAGTTGTTGTTGCTGTCTGTTGCTCTTGTTAGTCTGTTTTTATTTGTTATTGTCTGCTGTTGTTAATGTTTGTTGTTCCTGTTAATGTCTCTTGTTCTTAATGTATCTTATTCTTGTCTGTTGTAACTGTTGTCTGTTGTTGCTATGTTGTCTGTTTTCATTTATTATTGTCTGTTGTTAATGTTGTCAGTGTGGTTGTTATTGTTGGCAGTATTATTTATGACCAGTAATTAATGTATATATGAAGTATACATAATGAATAATTCATATATACATTAATTTGGAGACAACAGAGTGGTAGAGTCAATAAAGACAGTGATGGAGACAATAAAGACAGTGATGGAGACAATAAAGACAGTGATGGAGACAATAAAGACAGTGATGGAGACAATAAAGACAGTGATGGAGACAATAAAGACAGTGATGGAGACAATAAAGACAGTGATGGAGACAATAAAGAAAGTGATGGAGACAATAAAGAAAGTGATGGAGACAATAAAGAAAGTGATAAGACAACTGAGTAATAGAGGCAATAAAGAGTGACAATAAATACAGTGATAAAGGAGACAATAAAGACAGTGATAAAGGAGACAATAAAGACAGTGATAAAGGAGACAATAAATACAGTGATAAAGGAGAGACAATAAATATAGTGATAAAAGAGACAATAAAGACAGTGATAAAAGAGAGACAATAAAGACAATGATAAAGGATAAAATAAAGACAGTGATAAAAGAGAGACAATAAAGACAATGATAAATGAGACAATAAAGACAGTGATAAAGGAGACAATAGTAACAAAGGAGAGAAGTCAGAGGTTAATAAAGACAGAACAAGAGACACAATATAGACAGTAATAAAGGAGAGAAGTCAGAGGTTAATAAAGACAGACAAGAGACACAATATAGACAGTAATAAAGGAGAGAAGTCAGAGGTTAATAAAGACAGAACAAGAGACCAAGAGAGATAATAAAGAGACAACCCCCCCTCCCCCCCACCTACTCACCTGCTAGTCTCACTCCACCTCCTGGCTGCGTCCTGGATCATTCCGCAGCGCAGATCGCACAACCCCGGAAAAATCAAACGTAAAAATGATCTCTTAGGCGTCAGCCATTTTTTTTTTTATCTGTCTCACTGTCTGGCTAGTTCACCTTGGCCATTACTGCCGCTTATTTGTCAGCCTGTGGGCATGTTCCCGGCGCCCCAGGTAGCCTCACACGTGCCCCGGGGTTGTCTGCAGCGGGCGGGGGTGCCACGGGGCAGCCCTGGGCATCACAAGAGGCAGAAAAGTCACAAAATGAAGCATGTATGTCGCCCCTTGACCACCATAACAGATTTCTCTGACACTGCTGGTCAGGGTTCCAATAATGTGCCTGTGTCGCCTTCACTACCACCTTAATCACCTTAAATATCAACTAATTAACCACCTGAGCCTCTGGCTGCATCTTCTACTCACCTGATAATTTTTAAAAGTGGGATAAATTTGGATCTTAGTGAGTCAGAAATGAAAGTAATGGAGGGAAGGTCAGCCGTGAAGGGTTTAATGTGATAGTTTGAGTTAAGGATCAATGGCGGCTGGCTCAGCCAATCAGAAGCTTCATTGACGTGAGAGGAGAATTAACTCACTTTTTCACCTGAAGGTCAACACCTCTTATTTTACCCTTATCTATCCTCTTATCTACCTTATTCTACCCTGCCACAGTCTACCCTCGTCTACCCACCTCGTTAATGCGTCTCAACCTCCTCAGTAACCTCCAGTATGTGAGGGAAAAACGGTAGCGTAATTCTCTACACTTGGTTGGTGCCAAATGTCCATGCAACACCTCATTATTCCTCACTTTAAATTTAAAATACACCATCCATAGCGGGACATTTATTATTTACGTGATTTTGATCACTCCAGTGATGACGGCGTAAAATAAAAACTGGCTTTCATTAGGCGGATCGTGAGGAAAATCAGACAAAATATGTCGCCTTGGCAACAGCGGGAAGTGCACGTGCAACTACGTTTGTGACGTCATCAGTGACGCCATTGCTGTGACGTCAACAGTGACGTCATAATCGTGACGTCACGACCACGTTTTTATGTAAACAGAGAAACAATTTTATCAATGGAGAAATTTTCGGCGCCTTTAATGTGTCAGAATAAGTGGATGATGGCTCAGAGAGGCAGGAATAATATGCAGGAAGACCCACACAATAAATGAAGAGGAGGATAAAGAGAGAAAGTAAGAAATAAAGCATAAGAATAGCAGAGAGTGAGAGGTGGTGTCCCGCATGGTTCATTCTTGGGTTCTTTGTAGGCCTACTGGCCCATGTTAGGTAGGTCTAACTCACACCCACCCACTCATAACAACAGTAGTACACTGCTGTAGGCCTACTGGCCCATGTTAGGTAGGTCTAACTCACACCCACCCACTCATAACAACAGTAGTACACTGCTGTAGGCCTACTGGCCCATGTTAGGTAGGTCTAACTCACACGCACCCACTCATAACAGTAGTACACTTGCTGTAGGCCTACTGGCCCATGTTAGGTAGGTCTAACTCACACCCACCCACTCATAACAACAGTAGTACACTGCTGTAGGCCTACTGGCCCATGTTAGGTAGGTCTAACTCAAACGCACCCACTCATAACAACAGTAGTACACTTGCTGTAGGCCTACTGGCCCATGTTAGGTAGGTCTAACTCACACGCACCCACTCATAACAGTAGTACACTTGCTGTAGGCCTACTGGCCCATGTTAGGTAGGTCTAACTCACACGCACCCACTCATAACAACAGTAGTACACTTGCTGTAGGCCTACTGGCCCATGTTAGGTAGGTCTAACTCACACCCACCCACTCATAACAACAGTAGTACACTGCTGTAGGCCTACTGGCCCATGTTAGGTAGGTCTAACTCACACGCACCCACTCATAACAACAGTAGTACACTTGCTGTAGGCCTACTGGCCCATGTTAGGTAGGTCTAACTCACACCCACCCACTCATAAAAAACAGTAGTCCCACTGCTGTAGGCCTACTGGCCCATGTTAGGTAGGTCTAACTCACACCCACCCACTCATAACAACAGTAGTACACTGCTGTAGGCCTACTGGCCCATGTTAGGTAGGTCTAACTCACCCACTCATAGGCCTACCACATAAATATTTTGACTCATAAGATTATAAAAGTAATAAAAACGTTGACAATTTAATAATTAAAAACATCAAATACATTTAAACTGGTCCTTGGTACGTGGTATGAGGTCCTTGGTACGTGGCTTTGGGTTGGTTTACTGAGAACATAGGTCCTTGGTACATAGTATCAGGTTCTTGGTACGTGGTCTTGGTAGGTTCTCTGGGCACATGGGACCTTGGTATGTGGTATGAGGTTCTTGGTACGTGGTCTTAGTAAGTTCACTGGGCACATGGGACCTTGGTACATGGTATGAGGTCCTTGATACGTGGTCTTGGTAGGTTTACTGGGCACATGTGACCTTGGTACATGGTTGTTGGTACTAGTTTAGTGGGCACATCCCATGGCCTTGGGTATGGCCACTCCTGGACGCTGCTGGTAGACAGCAATAAGAACGTGCCAGCACCTGGGGTATCGCACCTGTAGCGTAGACACAATAACACGTAGGTTCCTGTTCTCCACAGGTGTGCACCTGAAGCACCTACCACCTGTGGTCACCACCGGAATGTACCTACGCAGCTGTTCACCATTGGTATCACAGGGTCCTTGGTCCGCAGCGCAGGCTATGTGGTATTCCACAACCCTGGGATTGTTAAGTTCCCGTAGAACGTTGGTTAGGCTGGTGTTCAGTGCCTGGCTGTGAACACCGTAGCACAGGGATAACACCAGTAGCACTATAACACCCGTCTGGTTCATCCTGGATCACCTGACAACAATAAAAGAAGATAAGAAAAATAGCACTGCAGGAGGCCTGCTGACCCGTGCTAGGAAGGTCATTCTCAAACAACACTTGAAATCAACTCGAAATTGAAGTTGAATATATCAAAGTGGAGATAAAAGGTAATGTTGAGGTACAGTCCCTGGACCCATTTTCAATGCTACGTGGAAATAACCTTATTAACAAGGTCAAGTATTTTCAGTTAAAGAGAGAAATAAAAAAAGGAATTAGAAAAGCAAAAAGAGATTATGAGGTTAAAGTTGCAAGAGAATCGAAGACTAACCCAAAAGGATTCTTTCAGGTATACAGAAGTAAGATGAGGGACAAGATAGGCCCACTCAAAAGTTCCTCGGGTCAGCTCACTGACAGTGATAAGGAAGTGTGTAGAAGTTTTTACACATACTTCCTCTCAGTTTTTACACAGGAGGATACCAGCGATATTCCAGTAATGATAAATTATGTAGAACAGGACGATAATAAACTGTGCACGATTAGGGCCACAAATCCCCAGGCCCTGATGAACTGTATGCAAAGGTTCTAAAGGAATGTAAAGAGGAGCTTAGCAAACCTTTGGCTAATCTTTTCAACATATCACTACAAACTGGCATGGTGCCAGATAAGATAAGATAAGATAAGATTTCGTTCGGATTTTTAACCCCGGAGGGTTAGCCACCCAGGATAACCCAAGAAAGTCAGTGCGTCATCGAGGACTGTCTAACTTATTTCCATTGGGGTCCTTAATCTTGTCCCCCAGGATGCGACCCACACCAGTCGACTAACACCCAGGTACCTATTTGCTGCTAGGTGAACAGGACAACAGGTGTAAGGAAACGTGTCGAAATGTTTCCACCCGCCGGGAATCGAACCCGGGCCCTCCGTGTGTGAAGCGGGAGCTTTAGCCACCAGGCCACCGGGCAAATGTGATACCTATTTTCAAAACAGGTGACAGGTCCTTAGCTTCGAACTATAGACCAATAAGCCTAACCTCCATAGTGGGAAAATTTATGGAATCAATAATTGCCGAGGCAGTTCGTAGCCACCTTGAAAAGCATAAATTAATCAACGAATCTCAGCATGGTTTTACAAAGGGGCGTTCCTGCCTTACGAATTTATTAACTTTTTTCACTAAGGTATTTGAGGAGGTAGATCATGGTAATGAATATGATATTGTGTATATGGACTTCAGTAAGGCTTTTGACAGGGTCCCACATCAGAGACTATTGAGGAAAATTAAGGCACATGGAATAGGAGGAGAAATTTTTTCCTGGATAGAGGCATGGTTGACAAATAGGCAGCAGAGAGTTTGCATAAATGGGGAGAAATCAAAGTGGGGAAGCGTCACGAGCGGTGTTCCACAGGGGTCAGTGTTGGGCCCCCTGCTGTTCACAATATACATAAACGACATAGATGAGGGCATAAAGAGCGACATCGGCAAGTTTGCCGATGACACCAAAATAGGCCGTCGAATTCATTCTGACGAGGACACTAGAGCACTCCAGGAAGATTTGAATAGACTGATGCAGTGGTCGGAGAAGTGGCAGATGCAGTTTAATATAGACAAATGCAAAGTTCTAAATGTTGGACAGGACAATAACCATGCCACATATAAACTAAATAATGTAGATCTTAATATTACGGATTGGGAAAAAGATTTAGGAGTTCTGGTTAGCAGTAATCTGAAACCAAGACAACAGTGCATAAGTGTTCGCAATAAAGCTAATAGAATCCTTGGCTTCATATCAAAGCTTTAAATAATAGGAGTCCTCGGGTTGTTCTTCAACTCTATACATCCTTGGTTGGCCTCATTTAGATTATGCTGCACAGTTTTGGTCACTATTACAGAATGGATATAAATGCTCTGGAAAATGTACAAAGGAGGATGACAAAGTTGATCCCATGTATCAAAACCTTCCCTATGAGGATAGACAAAGGGGCCCTGAATCTGCACTCTCTAGAAAGAGTGTAAAATTTTAGGGGGGATATTGATTGAGGTGTATAAAGGGAAGAAAGGAATAAATAAAGGGATGTAAATGTGTGCTGAAAATATCTAGCCTAGACAGGACTCGCAGCAAATGGTTTTAAGTTGGAAAAATTCAGATTCAGGAAGGATATGGGAAAGTACTGGTTTGGTAATAGAGTTGTGGATGAGTGGAACAAACTCCCGAGTACAGTTATAGAGGCCAGAACGTTGTGTAGCTTTAAAAATAGGTTGGATAAATACATGAGTGGATGTGGGTGGGTGTGAGTTGGACCTGATAGCTTGTGCTACCAGGTCGGTTGCCGTGTTCCTCCCTTAAGTCAAGGTGACCTGACCTGACTAGGTTGGGTGCATTGGCTTAAGCTGGTAGGAGACTTGGACCTGCCTCGCATGGGCCAGTAGGCCTTCTGCAGTGTTCCTTCGTTCTTATGTTCTTAAATTCGTTATTTCTGGTTGTTAGCGGCCCGCGGT